GAATTTATATGGGACAACCCTTAAATTTAATAAAAAAAGAATCGTCCAAATCGGTCTGCAAATGGCGAAGATATCGCATAACATACACATAAATAAAAAATAAAACAAACATACAGTAGAATTGTGTACCTCTTCCTTTTTTGAAGTAAGCTAACAAAAGCAATAGAATTATGAGAATTTTTTTGTTTTCACTTCTATTTAACTTATTGTAACATAAAGTTTAGCGTAGACAGGCGTTTGGGGTCTCCCCGGTGGCGCATTGTGCAAAATTCACACTGACACAAATTACTCAAACTTTTAACATTATAATCAATTTTAATGGCATTGACATACAAACGTTGACCTCATAGCGAATAGCGTACTTGCAAACGCTATGAAGTGATAGTAAACTCTACCATATTAATATAATATGTTATAACTAACACAGAAAGTATCATTAAACGTGTTTGGACGCATTACGAAATGAGATGCACATAATTAGTTTCAACCTTAACTACGACTAGAAAAGGAAACTGTAATTAGAAACAAGCTAAAAGAGTTCGGACATTAGGATCCATACTAAAAAGGTAGCTCTGGAAAGCAAAACGTAAAGTATTAGAGTCGTAGGAAGTGTAATCCGGAGCTGAATTATTTTGGGATAAATTTTTTATTGTGTTTGTTTTTGGGTTGTCCTGATTATGATTGTCTTTGTGTATCTATTACTACATCCTAACTTAAGGTTGATCTTAATGCGTTTGCAGATTGTCGGACACGAAACCGTGAATACATTTACACACATAACGGCTCTGTAACATTTTGCGTGACTGACAACTTTTGATTAATATACGAAAGATTTCGCCGTGGTCAAAATCGATTAAAATTGATAAACCTGTTCAATAAAAGCGCCTCGTCTTACAATTTTATACAAAAGTAGTGGAGTAATCAACATTTATAATGCATACTTCAAAATGTTAATTTCTAAAAGTCTTGCAAATTCCTGACCATTAGAAATGGAACAATCTACACATGAACATAAAAAGTAATTTGCTCAATCTTTTATTGACACAATCATTTATGCTATTTATTTTAAATCAGTGTTTCTATTGAAGTGGTTAGCAATAATGAGATGATCATTCAAGTGATTTAATTAAATTGAGCGGAACGATACCTAAAAACATAAGTCAATAGTAATACGTACGTAAGGCATAATGTACATATTGAGATTAGCAATATGGAGATCCTTTTTGCGTTTATTTCCTACAGCTATACTAATATTGATACGAGAAAATGTATACATTTTTGAGCGACACCAAATTCTTAATCGCAGATAAATGTAGATTTCTATGAGCCCCATCACCCATTTACCATCAGGTGGACTGTGTGCTCGTTTGTCACCCTAATTCAATAAAAAAATCTCTTTATACGGTTCATATATGGACTTTGTTAATATGACCAATGACCATGTCTTAGAATCTTCGTCGGAATAGTCACATTATTTCAGCTTTCTACTTTGTTTTAATATATCAAGCCCTCGATATTTAGGCTTAATATACTAAAAACATTTTTAATTTTTTGCTTATATTTTGTGATAAAACTTTACTAGTTTTTGAAGTAACTCCTTACTTCTGTTGATTACGTCGTGCTCAATCCCTACATTTGTTCAAGAAACAGGTTAAGGAACATTATTTATGTCTCCTACTCTCTTTTTCCCCTTTTCATTTATGTCACTGATCTATCGTGTAAAGTAGGTAACACGTCTTTCTGGTGTTAATAAAGTGCACCCTACTCGTTAATCTTTCTCTCTTTCTTTAATCTTTTTTGTTTTTTTTTTTATATGGTTTCGTTTGTTGCTAGCCAGTGGTAGCCTACTGTACTTTCCACTTAAACATTGTAAGAGAGTGTGTTTGTCATGTACACCGAGTACTCCCTAATAAAGCCTTAGTTGTCGGTGCTATACAGTATTTTTACTGACATTTCCTATAGTCTTACGACACAACACAAACGGACAAAGAAAGAGTGATTGATTCTGATACGTTCAACTCCGCGAAATTATCTAATACGGCACGTTAAAGTTACATAACATTTACTAACTGTTGTTAGTTGTAGCTCAACTATTAATAAAAAGTTATTCTCATGTTCTGCGATATTTCTCTATAGCTACTCTACAGTATTACTTATACGCGCTCAAATATAACCTAACGACACACATTCAATACTTATTCGTGAGAACTAGACAACAAGTGAGCTATGATAGTAACGTACTAATTAAAAGTAATTAACGCATAAAACGTAATTATACATTTCGTAGTAATAGCAGAGTAGGCATTAGAATTCTGTAGTGCAGAAATTGTTTAAAATTACAGCACTTTGAGGTGCTACAAAATTTTTAATTCACCGTTAGTTTACACTTTGTTGACGGATTCAAAATTAAAATTTTAACTAAAAAAAGTCACGAATTTAAATGATACAAGTAGCCGTAAGCCGTTGTTTCGATTTCGATTTTGCCTTGATATTTAAAGCCTTGTGTATAGGGACCATAGGGACTAAGATAAAATAAGTCACACTTGTTCTGTACTCTTCAAACTAGAAAACAGGACACTGATGCTCCGGGAAGCCTGCAGTCTGCATGACAGAGTCTTTTCTACATAGAAAATAATATTTAAGTGAAGGTTAGTCCTCTAATCCCCCAGTGATAATAGGTGCAGCAAAGCACTCGGGAATATAAAAGAAGCTAAATTTTCACGATAAAATCTTTAAAAATGAATATTATTTTGTTTAGTAAATGCGTAAATATAAGAGATAAGCGCCTTTATACCCTCCACAAACTCCAACTAATTTGGCATTGACGCATCGTGTTTTCTTTTTTTATTCTTTACAAAATTTTCGTACCGCCTAAATTATGACATAACGAATAGTATATCAGACTATTACGTTATTATGCCTGGGTATATATATATAAATGGTACAATAATTTTTGAACGTGTTAGAGCCATGTTTAAGCTATATTAATTGTATAGTTGTAGCATAAATGGGTCGGCTCGACCGGGGAAGGACCACGCTCTCATAGAATACCAGCGTAAAATAGCAGCTTGATCCTACTGTGTTTCGTATGGTGAGTGTAGAGAACCGGAGACCCTTTTTACTGGAAAAGAGGCTTTCCATCTTAGCCCTCACGGGTGACAACGTATCTGCATTCTGAATCGCAAACGAGGATAAAAGTGGATGTCTATGGGTCACAGCAACCACTTACTATCGCGTGGACTGTGTGCTCGCTTGTCACCCCTATCTTATAAAAAAATATAATGTGTTATTGTACACACTGCTTCCAACCCTATTGAAGAATACAGGCATGTTAGAATCAGCAAGTGCGTTTGTGTTGGTGCTTACTATAATATGTTCTGCACAGTTAAAAGGATCCAGGCGGCGTGTAGTCAATACAAACTTATTCCTCTATTTTCTTCCTTCTGAATTTCCTGGATATGATATATTTGCCACTGCCATGTTTAAGTGTTTTCTTTTTCAATTTATTTTAAAATTATTCCAATTGCCAAGTTACACCGGTGTTATCAGACATCCAGCAAATAAAATTATCGAATCTATACGAGAAAATAAAATTAAAGTGTCTGTTTGTAATGTCGAAATAACAGCTTTTTACTATATGCATATGAAAGTATATACGGTACTTATAACAAAAACACGATTTCTAAAATTTTTGTATGTCTGTCTTTCTGTCTGTCTGTCTGTCTGTTTGTTCCGGCTAATCTCCGGAACGGCTGGACTTATAAAAAGTAACATATGCTACTTTTATTATAGAAAAAGAATTAGGGTTCCGCGCAAAAAATGAAACCCACGAAATCCAATCGTGATAAGTTACGCACGGGTGAAGTCGCGGGGAACAGCTAGTATAGAATAAAAATAATAATATAGATTAAATAAAACCATATTTACGGATTTTATCGCGTTTGATTTACTTATTTTAATTCCTGACGTTTCGAGTGCTTTACAGCAACCGATGGTCACGGAGGGGACTGAGATGTTTGACGTCCCGATGTCATAGTTAGCCCGGCTACCTTCAGTTTTGGCTCGACCGATTTTAATGATTTTTTGTATCTATTTGACTGGGTCGCTGGATTGTTTAAAAACTCAGTTGGACCCGGTAGGTGGCGCTATTGTTGAGATCCAGAAATCACCCGTGCAAAGCCGGGGCAGATCGCTAGTAACAACTAAAAATAAAAAACAAGCGTGACAACTATGGCAAATATCTCCGCTATGAAGCAATTTATGGGGAAAGCCTATGTTCAGTAGTGCACTTTAATAGGCTGTAACGGTAACGGTAAATGTCTTGCCACCCACATTTCCTCTTAAAAACGGGGTATTCCCAGTAGTCTTACCAAGTAGTCTTACTAGTAAGACTACTGGGAATTTTCTACCCAGTAGTCTTACTGGTAAGACTAATGGGAATATCCTAATGGAAACTTCCAAATAGTCTTACTAGTAAGTCTATTGGGAATCTTCGTGGCGTGTTGTATTCCCAGTTGTCTTACCAAATAAGCTCTTAAGTAAAACTACTGGAAATATTTTTACGAAGTAGACTTACACCGCAAAAAAAATTCTCAGTAGTTCTAATCTATAAAATACATGGAAATTTTTATCAGTACTTTAGTAGTATATTTTAGGAATAGTACTAGGCAAGCATAAACTTGCAAGAGGAAGTAGGATAGTTCTTGTTTATATTCTTCTACCGAGTTCAAAAAGGAGGAGGTACTCAGTTAGACCATATAGGTCTAATATTATTGATTATATATATATATATATATATATATATATATATATATATATATATATATAGTTCAGGGCAAGAAGAATTTTAAAATGGACCGGAAGGAAGTAGCCGATAAGCTCAACCAGCTCCCCCAGGTAATACGCCAGAGCAATGAATAACAGTTAAGTTTCTATCAAAGAATTTTCAAGATTTACTACTAATTGCTTAAATTCCTCGCTTGTCCACTGAAAGCGCCATATTGTGTCTAAAGCAAACCGTCAAATACTACACTGATCGCAGGACGCCTGTGTACGCGTGCTTCCTCGACCTTTCCAAGGCCTTTGACCTGGTGACATATAACCTGCTGTGGGACAAGCTGCAAAGCATAGGCTTGCCTCAAGAACTTATCAGCATGTTCCGGTACTGGTACGCAAACCAGGCCAATAGTGTCAGGTGGGCGGGGGTAATGTCGGATCCGTATCGGCTTGAGTGTGGAGTCAGGCAAGGTGGCTTAACATCACCAACCCTATTCAATCTATATATCAACGGGCTGATCGTAGCGCTTAGCAGTCAGCATGTCGGCTGCCACATTGACGGTGTTTGTGTCAATAATCTGAGTTATGCAGACGACATGGTGCTGCTGAGTGCATCGGTCTGCGGCCTGAGGAAGCTGATACGGAAATGCGAGGAATATGCATGTGGTCACGGATTATTGTATAATGTCAGAAAGAGTCAATACATGATCTTTGAGGCCGCTGGTGCGAAATGTCCTGATAATGTACCTAAAATAAAATTGAATGGTGTACCCCTGGAAAGGGTTAAACAGTTTCAGTATCTGGGGCATTTACTCACATTCGACCTAAGGGATCACGCTGATATGGACCGGGAACGGAGGGCGCTGTCTGTCAGAGCTAACATGATCGCCCGTAGGTTTGCGCGGTGTTCGAAGGAGGTCAAGGTTACACTCTTCCGAGCGTTCTGCACATCGCTCTACTCGTGCAGCTTATGGGCTAATTACAGTAGGAAGAGTTACAGCGTCCTCCGCGTCCAATACAATAATGCGTTTAGGGCGGTGATGGGGTTGCCTCGGTTTTGTAGCGCCTCTGGTATGTTTGCGGATGCGCGCATCGATTGCTTCAATGCCACCATGCGCAAGCGGGCCGCGTCCCTGGTGCGCAGAGTGCGGGCCAGCTCCAACACTGTCTTAGCGATGATCTCAGGAAGGTTAGACGGTTATATTATCCGGCATTGTTGCGAAAGGCATGTCGCAGACCAGCTGCCTCTGAGAAAGTATTGATTAATCTCGTCTCCTGTCTAATAAAAGTGTGTTCTTATAGTTCTTTTTTTTTTTTGTTAATTATGTATTAATTTTATTTTATCTGCTTAGATTATTCTATATACTGACATTAATGCTTATTGAAATTGGCCGGATGTATTATTTTAAAGTTGTTATCTTGTTGACATTGATTTATGTATTGTATTGCTTTAATTGTGTAGATTGATTTTAATTTAATTTATTGCAGCACAGTTGCCTCAGAGAAAGTTTTAATTATTGATCTCGTCTCCAGACTGATAAATGTGTGTAATTCTGTTATTTATTTACTAATTTTAATTTTATGTTATTTTATTTCATTATTTTATTTATATACTGACATTACTGCCTATTTACATTGACTGGATTTATTATTTTAAAATTGTTATTTTGTATTGAAATTGATTTAATTATTGCTAAAATTTAGGAGACTGATTTTAAATTTATTGATTTTACTGGATATGGGTGTAATTTGCCTGAATAAAGATGATTATTATTATTATTATTATTATTATTAAATTAAAATGCATAAATAAATTAGGCAGCACATCGTGCAGCACTAGTGTTACTAATATTTACTTGAATACATAAGCTTGACCTGGTGAAAAATCTCTCTTCAGAAATCCTAGGACGGGATATATTCTCCACATTTTTTCTGCAGATTTTATACTCGTATTACATTTAAAATCTGCAATGTTACACTTTAAATCTATGGACATAATATAAAAAATCCACAAAACATAACAATAATCATCACATTTATTAACTAAAGAAATAACAAAACATGCCTTTTAATAATAAAAATAAAGTTACTTCGCCTAATATAGAAGTAAAGCATTCAGTCAGGAGAGCCTACGAACATGTTTTCATCTACGTATCTTTTCTAAGAAATGTCCAACGCTGATCTCATCATTAATAACTTGCAGTTGAGTGTTATGGATAAACTGGTCACGTTGAATATGTTTTTTGTGTCGTTTATTTAAATTTAAATTGTTTTTTATTTGGATGCTGCGCACCTTATGATATGATACGTCTGAGTTAAAAATGTTAAGTAATTGGTGTAAGTTGCTTTTTTCTTGCCAACTTCACCATTGATCGTAAAATGCCACGATTCTAAATAATTTGTCGTGCGATGTCGTTGGCCAAATACGCAGATTTTTTATTAACATTGTTGTTAAGCCAGTTTTTTGACATATATTTCTTAAATTTACGCATCGCTTGCATATCATTGTGTTCCTCCATCTCATTCAATATATGACTCCAACCATCTAAAATCCGTTCTTCGGGTAGAAGTGGCAGCATTTTGCAAAGCGATAATATTCTGTATGTCTGTAATTTGAGAGATTTTGCTTTTCCTCTTAGAGTCTCACAATAGTGAAAGTAGCATCCGCTTATTAATATTTTAGGAAAAACGGTTCGTGAAGCTTTCATCATAGCGTCCTCATAATCAGTTTTAAATTGCGTAGGTTCCCAGTTATGTATCTGACTTTTTATTAATTGTAATAATGTTATGTAAGTTTCAGTTCTTTTGTCTGGGAGGAAGGCATAAATAATGGGTATTATGTAGTTTGCTGAGAACTATCTAGATCGCAATGAATGGTATACAACTGAAGAAAGGGTAACGGGGTTATTTCATATGTGCCATCACTGAGATATTGCTGTTTTTCAGCCATAGTTTTCCTTGCATCCCTAGATTTAAATACTAAAATTCTTGCACCGTCATCGCGAAAGTAATCAGCCAGTAGAAATGAATCAAATTTGGACGGCACCTCAACGTCAGCAAACGTTTTGTGGTATAGTTTTTCAACACCTAACTCCTTATTGCGATATCGGTATAACGCTGACTTTACATCTCCGAATTTCGGTAATTTATTAATGAAGTTAATACCTGCATTTTCCAATGAACTTACTGCATTTTTGTAGACTCTAGTCACTGATATCGAGTCTTCACTGATTTTTTTCTTACATTCGTAAAACTTTAGGTCTATCTCATTTTTAGCAAAGTCTTGAGCACATGTTATTATGTGTGGTGTTGCATTCACTTCTTTCTTATCCCTAATGGTTACCGATCCAGTGCATTTGTTTTTCTTATATTGAGCACATCGCCATATTACGCTTGCATCTTTATATACCTTTAATTTATAATACTGGTAACCATTTAACATTAGTACTCTTCCTCTTCGTCTTTTGATCACGTTAATTTCAGACATAACACTATATTATGTGAAATTGCCTAATATTTATTATATTTAATTTTAATTTTATTCAGTGACAAGGCGTCATTCATACAGATGTTTAAACAAAATGTTTTTTATCTTTGGCCATAGACTAACCAATAATATTAGATCTATATGGTCTAACTGAGTACCTCCTCCTTTTTGAAGTCGGTAGAAGAATATAAACAAGAACTATCCTACTTCCTCTTGCAAGTCTATGCTTGCCTAGTACTATTCCTAAAATATACTACTAAAGTACTGATAAAAATTTCCATGTATTTTATAGATTAGAACTACTGAGAATTTTTTTTGCGGTGTAAGTCTACTTGGTAAAAATATTTCCAGTAGTTTTACTTAAGAGATTATTTGGTAAGACTACTGGGAATACAACACGCCACGAAGATTCCCAATAGACTTACTAGTAAGACTATTGGGAAGTTTCCATTAATAGGATAATCCTTTTAGTCTTACCAGTAAGACTACTGGGAAGAAAATTTCCATTAGTCTTTCTAGTAAGACTACTTGGTAAGACTACTGGGAATACCCCTTAAAAACTTCCAATTATTCAAAAGTTATTATTGCTATAGTTGGAAATCAGAAGAACGTCGTTTTCATGAACTCTAGTAGAGTTTATAAACTAAGATAATTAAAAATTTTGTACAACCGACTTCAATATAAATTATTAGCTTAGCAAGGAGTTGCTGCGCTTTGGGCCGCGGGTTCGAATCCCGCACGGAACAAGTATTCGTATGGCCTAGAAATAATTGTTCCGGGTCTGGATGTTTGTCCTTGTGCAATTTGTGTTTTTAAACTGCCTCCACGATACAGGAGAAAATCCTAGTGTGGGGGTAACGTTTTTTTTTTTAACAAAAGAATAAAAAGAACAAAAGCTTTCAAATAAAAAAAGAATCATCGAAATCGATTCATCCAGAAAAAGTTATGAGGTAACACACATTAAAAAAAACATACAGTCGAATTGATTACCTACTTCTGTTTGAAGTCAGTAGAAAATCGTTCATTAACAACAGAACTACAATGTAGAATAACCATACAAATGTAATTACATAGCGTCCTTCAAGGTCTAGGGCTTTAAGCGTCATGTCGCGTGTAAAATACACAATAACGTAGCGTGTTCCTATGTTTACTTGAATCACATTTTGCTAGAGACATTAGCATAATTAAATGATATAAATGGGTAAGGAAACAACGCTTGAATATTATATTGGATTCATTATTTGTTAGGGATAAGGTAATGTTATTGAGTACGTTAACCAATGTTATATAATATTAAAAATTGATAGCATGCAACAGTCCATATGAGGCAATTTTTTGGTTGTATCACCCCTATCAAGCAATTTATGGGGGTATTATGTTCAGCGGTGGATTTTTGTAGGCGATAGGAGATAATGGAACGAACAATCTATAGCTTGACACGAACATCTCGCATCTGCATATTGATTATTAATCGATGACAAATGTAGATGTCTATGGGACACAGTATCCACTTACCATCAGGTGAACTGTGTGCTCGTTTGTCACCTTTATTTTATTAAAAAAAAAATTAAACATCAAGATCATGCGTCAGTCAAAATTTGGATGTTACTATAGGCTAGGTGTGCACATGGCCGCACGGTATGGCGCATTTAAAGCGTTCAAATGACAGAAGACGTAGGTTAGGTTGGATAAGGTAAGCACGTAGCTGTCTGGTAATGATAGTGACTTACTTGTTTACATACAACTGTTAAATTGATCTGTCTGTTTAGTCGAGTTGTGTATTTGTGACATTTTTTGGTGATTAAACTGTTTGAAAACTAATAAAAAAAAGTCTGTAGGTCTGTATCTACAAGGGCTCTAACGATTATTGTTGATGCCAGAATGGTGCGCTAACACGCAGTACGCCGCGTCATGCCGCGCAGTCATGTAAACTTAGCCTTAGAATTCGATTTTTTTGGTGAATGTCTCTCAAGCGCATATAAAAATAACGTAACAGTGCGAATTTCTTGCCAAAGCCATGTCTCATGCCATCATAATCTATTCAAAGATCAAGCTACTATAAAGAAGCTCAAATTTCAATCCAAAAGCAAGAATTCCGTCATCGTTAGGTTCTTTTCTACATGCATACGTTTTATACCGTCGTCGTTTTTTATAATTACTACCACTGTGATATACTTGTTTTATGTGCTATAAAGTCATGATTATGGAAATTCCGAGTGCGTGTAGGAGAATGCGTAGTTCAACAGTTTAACTTATACAAGTCATGTCAAGATTGTTGTATTTTATTGATTTTTTTTCAATGGTTATTATATTTACTGGATTTATTACATCCGGGTTAACCACATGCCAGAAAAAAATTGTTGGTATCAATTCTAAATGTGGTGTGATTGTGGTCACTTCTTAGAGATTTCATCGTATCTACCTTCTATCTTCTTGCATTAGTGCTACATCTATCATGGTCGGATTAATTCAAGGGATCTATTTATGAGCATATATATATGGGAGCTATAAAAATAAAAAAATTACTCTTTAAAATTTTAATAAATTTTAATGCAAACCACTAAAAATTTTCCGCCATTAATTGAAATTATTTCAAGCTCGGTGCCGAACAGAACTTTTGTTTCACATTATTTTTCAAATTGTGATTGCGAAGTGTTTGCCTAGGAATCTCCCCAAGGAAATGTTCAAATTCTTCAAAATTAAACAGGTTATGTATGGTACGAGTTGCCATTTTTTTAAATTTATTGATCAAAATGTTCATACATATTTTTTTTTATTTGTACCATTAAACAAAAAATGGTTTGTATTGGTACTCACATTCGCAACTAACGCACTGCTTAACATTAAATAATTTGTTAATTTCTTAAAAGTAACCAAAAATATACATTTAAATATACCTCCTTTATTGTGTAAGTGGTAAGCACCCATTTGCAATTCTTACGTGGGACTTTCCGGAATTGAGCGCCACTGACGTGAGCGCTCATTGCTTTTGTTGTGGAACCTGTTCTAATAGACTAGACAGTGCAAACTACTAATTATATACAGGTTGTTTCACTATAATATAACTAAATAATAACTATAATTTAGCTTCAGTGGGGCCCCCATATATCCAAATTAGCAAGCAGACTAAGTTCTGCAGCCTATGCTGTAAAAAAGATTAGAGATCTCACTAGTGTCGAGACAGCTAGATTAGTTTATTTTAGTTATTTCCATAGCATAATGTATTATGGGATTTTGCTATGGGGAAATGCGACTGATTCAGAAACTATTTTTAATTTACAGAAGAGGCCCATTAGAGCTATTTACAATCTAAAACCGAGAGTCTCTTAGAGATAAATTTAAAGAAATAAATATATTAATTTTGGCCTCTTAGTATATTTACGAAAATTTAATGTATGTTCACAAAAACAAAGATAGTTTTAGTAAAAAAAGTGATATACATTCTGTAAACACTAGGAACAAACACAAGCTAGTGATGCCAGTTTCACGACTCCACAGAGACAGTAATTCATTCTTGGGGCAATGTATACGCTATTACAACAAGGTCCCGGAAAGTGTACAGGTTCTCTCTATTACCAAGTTTAAATGTTTTATTAAACTGAAACTGTATAAAAAGGGTTATTATAGTATAAATGAATACATGGTTGATAATAACCCCTGGGAATGAGGTGGTCGCTTCCAAGCAGTTTCTAAAATAAATTTTGTAAATAGCTCGTAATCATTTATATTGTAAAATTTATTTAAAAAAAAGTCCCGCTGGGTTTCTTGCTGGTTCTTCCCAGGACAGAGGGTTTTTTTTCGAACCAGTGGTAAAGTAAAAAATGACTTTCAATAAGAATTACACATGTAATGTATATTGAATAAAAAATTATTCTATTCTATTCTAATCTATTGATTATCGTAATAGTATTTTTGAGAGTTCCATCTCTTCCTCCTCCCCACCCTTGAGCCCACCGACCACAATGCCGAGTGTAGTGAGTACAGAAAAATGTTTCAATTAAAACTATGAATAAGTAATACTTTAGCATTTTATTACGTTTTATCGACT